TGGGCTGGCAACCTCAAAAGCTATTGCCATCCCACAGATCTGCGAAGCAATGGGGAAGAAACAGCTACCAGTATTGACCAGAACTGACCACAACCATGGGAGAACCACCAATGGATACAGGAGACCTTCAGGAGGGAGGTCTGGAGAACACTGTCCAACACTGGGACTGAGAAAGAAAGATTCAGAGGAATAAATATTTCAACTTGTGTTTCTTGCTGCCTTTTGAACTCACACCAGCTTACTCCCATTAGCCAAATTCAACCATAAACCAGAGGCCATAGACTTTAACCTCTTTGGGTACAGAGCAGGGTGCAAAGTTGATAGAAAGCAACAAATAGGAGGTTTACAGCAAAAGGGGCATCTGCATTTTTATGTTTATATACGAGAAAGATCATTCATTAATAAGAAAGTGGTAAAAGATACAGCCCAGAGGACACACCTATGGAAAATGGTCCCTGAAGAGGCTAAAGGAAGGTATATGTATTCAAGGGAGGGGCAGGAGTTCAGGGATTTACACAAGAGAAAGGACACCTTTTCCTAATCCTTCATTAAGACAGAGATGACAATCTAATAGTGGTTCCCATGGGACTGGGTTCTGAGTACTTCTGTTCCCTGAGCTGAGCTGGATACACCTCTGAGATCAGTGGGGGCCTTTTAGGGCTGCAATGAGAAAACACCGAACCTTGATGCACGTGGGGAAAGAGATTAGAGGGAGCCTCCTGGAGGTCCTGGAAAGTGAAGACCTGGAGCAACTCTGGGCTCCAAACTGTGTCACAGCCGGGACCCCAGTGGAGAGAAGGTACACTCTCAGTAGCAATGGTATAAAAGAGAGCTGCAGCCAAGGGAGGAGTCGCAGCTGCAGAGGCAGATCCATTTGCAGAAGATTCTCCGGGACCTCCTAGCAGGGAGTCACCAGGGGCCAGGTGAGTGGAGGAGGCAGCTTCCTTGCTCTGAGTTCCTGGCTCTCAGTTCGGGTTCTCTCCTCTAGCCTGGGCTTTCTCAGTTCACTTCCTTAGTTTAATCCTTTCAACACTGACACTCATTTCCCTCAAGATGTTCACCTGTGTGGAGACTAAAGCCCGAGGTCTGGAGAACAAGTAGAAAAGGTGAAGAAGCTCTCCTCTGGTCATGTGAGAAAGAATTAGAAAGCTCTACCAGAGAAAAAAGCAGGATAGCCTCCCATTTAAATTATAGATCCAAGACCCTAAGAGACAGCAATTGAAGTTACTCATTTCTGATTCAAAAATGAAATCAAGAACTAAAACTGGACATCCAATTACCAAATCTAATACAGACTATTTATCTGAAAACTTTTACCCAGTACCCGACTAGAGAGAGCTCAAGAGGCATTCTACTTAAAGCCTAGACCAGACAAGGATATTGACAATCAGTACTTCTTTTTAAATTTTTTTAACATTTTAAAATTACCGTTTACATTCAATATAGTTTTATATTAGTTTCATGTGTACAGCATAGTGGTTATACAATCATATATTTTACTAAGTGTCCCCCCTTATATTTCCAATATCAAACTGGTACCATCCATAGGTATTACAATATTATTAACTATACTAGTGGCCTGGTGCATGAAACTCATGCACATTAAAAGGGAATTAATTAGAAGAAATATTTTAATATTGTTATTTGCTGTTTCTCTATAATAGAAGTATCAGAGATGAAAGAAAATTAGTAAAATGTATATGAAAACCTTCATCCTGACAGAGTCTGGGGTGCTCTGCAGGACCCAGAGTCAAGTTCCTGCCCACTGGCTCGTGCCTCAAAATTGTGCAAGACCCAGACCCGACTGGCCCCACCTCTGTCAAGCCCCACCGGGCTGGGGACACAGCCTCAGGTCCCCCTGCACTGCCCCAGGTCATCCAACCCAGCGCCGGGGCAAGGGGTGTGGTCTCAGGTCCCCTGGCCACAGTGAGAGGGTAAGACATCCATTTGCACATTAGCTCTTTATTATATAGGATTTCCTGTGCTATCTATTACAACCCCATGACTATTTTGTAATGATCAATCTGTGGTTCTCAATCCCTTCACATTTTTCACTCATCCCCCAAAACTCTGTGCCCTCTGGCAAACATCATTCTGTTCTCTTTATCTATGAGTCTATCTGTGTATACTTCCTTATGTTGTTAGAAAATTATAAACACTTCAATAAGATGAAAATAAAAATCAGAACTTAATTTTAAAATTGCACTGGTTATGCATATTCATAGATAGCGAGCACACAAACAGCTCTCTGGTAAGTGGAGGATGGTGGAGTGGAAGAATTGTGCACAGAAAACACAGAAACAGAAAACTCATGGACATGAACAACAATGAGGTGATTGTGAGGGTGGAGGGGGGTGAGTGGTGGTTGAGGAGAGCATGGAGGGCTTAAATGGTGATAAAAAAAATAAATTACATTTTAAAATAACAAAAATCAGAGCATACACTACTTAAAGTTCTAAAAATATATAGCATATTCTTCTAACAAAAATATTCTGAAAATTTACTAAAAAGCTATTTGCTATTTGCTTTGGGACATGGTACTGTAAAATAGCTATATTCTGTGAAATGTTTTTAAAAACAGTAATCATCAGAAGATTTTTTTAAGTAATAATATCCAATTAGGAAATATAATAAGGCAACAAAAAGTACTAGTAATGGGAATATTCCCAAAATATCTATGACCAAACGGCAAAACAAGTTTAAAAATAAAAAGATTCAGTAGAATAAAAATGAGTTCTTCCAAAATTAATTTATGTTTTACTTTTAAACTCAAAAATATGACAACCAATCTTTTTTTATTTTAAAAATTATTTGAAATAATTAGTAAGACTCTTTCCTACCATTGGTAAATACATTATTCAATTGCTTCTGGAATAAAAACAGACTAGACCTCCTTTCTGACAATAATACTTAAATGTGTGTTTGGATTGAACATTTGACATAAAGAGCACATTGTAAATTAATGCAGAGGGAAGGCTTCTTAACTAAATAGTGCTGGGACAATAGGTTAGCTTTTATGGATGAATTTAATTTTGGGACTTTCTCACTCCATGTCAAATCTCAAATTGGTTACAAAATTAATTTTAAAATAAATGTTTGTAAAGAAAATGCAAGAAAACACTTATTTAAGTGCCAAGACTTACATTATTTAACGCTTAAATATCCAATGGAAAGATATGTATATATATATAATACCTTAATAAAATAAATAAATAAATAAAAATAAAAAATAAAAAAGCTTAAATATCATGAAAGAATTAATTTTAAAAGCGCACTTTTTATAAATACATAAAAGTTTGCGTATGCACATGTGATTTTTTGAAAGGATAGATTTGTAATGACAATAAAAGGAGAAACTATTTCCAGAAAATTCAACAGAGGCAAAATTTTTAAGGTAAAATGAATCTCATACAAAATAATAATATGTGCTGCCAGACTCCATGCTAAGCCCTTGAAAAACATTATTTCATTTGATCCTACATGATGAGTTGAACATAAAGCAAAAAGTGAAGATTAACTATGTATATAAGTGTGTTGGGGGGGGGGGGGAGAGAAGCTTTGAAATGTCAGTTTACTAAATAATAAAGGGAAAGGTGAACCAAATCTGAAATTTCAATTTTTACTTATTCTATTAACAAAATTTTTTAATTAGATTTTTCAATCATTTCGTGGATGTGATAAATAGGACATGAGCACATTCTGGATGTATAAAGTACTATAATGTACCTATGAAGTAACGTTTCAGTGTATGTTAAGAGCATTAAAAATGTCCTACTATCATACAGGACCAGAAAAAACTCTTGAAAAGACAATTTGGTAAAATCAATGAAAATCACTTATTCCACTTCATCCAGTAATTCACTCCTTGGCAATTATCCTGTAGGTAAACTTACACATATGCTTAAAAATATGTGACCAAGTATATTTTTGAATGATTTTTACAGTGTAAAATTACTGGAAATACCAATATGCATCAAAAGTTCTCAAAAATATATCATGTGGGACATCCATGTGGGAGAAAGTTATGCAACTTAATAACAATGAGGTTTATCTATATGGCAATATGGAACAGTTTCCAAGTGAACTAAGCTAAAAAAGAACAGTCAAGGAAACAAGAGGTAAAAAAGGTATGATTTGTACACTAACATTTGTTTTTTTCTTTTATGGGGAAATAGTACATATATTGTTGTCCATGCAAAAACTATCTCTGGAAAGATTCCCAATAAATTATTACTAGTTGCCTTTGGTGGGGGGGAAAAAAGGAATTTGGGAATCCAAGACATGGATTTATATTTATTTATGTTTTATTTTCTCACATGTGCATGTGTGACATTAAAATAGTACCAAAATACTGCTAAAAATAAAATTTTAAGATCGCTATGACTTTTGTATGTATTATTTTCGTATAATTTTTGAAATTCCACACAGAAAAGTAAAATATTGGTTATTAATTTAAGAACAGTCAAATATAGGAATAGAAAGCAGTCATTAAAATTAGGACTCCACATTGCTTTTAGTGATACTGGAAAGTCATGGCTCATTTTATTATTCGTGCAGTAATTTTTTACTGACCATCTATTTTATGTCTTAGAACACATTGCTTAAAGACAGAGGACACATATAATATTATCTCCATATTATAGATGTACACAGCTTAAACAGAAAAAAATGGGAGTAAACCAAATATTAGTATTTGGTATCAGTTGGAGATATTACTGTTGAAATATTTGGACATGCTTATTAGGCATACAAGTGACGATGACAAATAGCTATTCCAACCTTTCTGTTTAGAAATAATTTTGGCCTTCTTTATTTTCCTCTGTGAAATACTAACCAGAGCAGAAATAAATATATAAAAAATTGAAGCTCGCTCATGATTAATGAACCTGAGTCCTTGGTGGGAGTCTCTTAATAATTAAGACCTTCAGCTGAATTTTCAAATGCAATTCCCTTCCTATTTCAGTTTTATGGACAGACACTGAGAACAGGGCACCTGTGCCATGGACACCTCCACCAGTCATACCAACAGTTCCAGCCTCCACATCTCCCAGTTCATCTTGATGGGGCTCCCAGGCATTCACGAGTGGCAGCATTGGCTCTCCCTGCCCCTGGCTCTGCTCTACCTATTAGCTCTTGCTGCCAATCTCCTCATCTTCATCACCATCCAACGTGAGCCCACACTACATGAGCCCATGTACCATTTCCTGGGCATATTGGCACTCGTCGACATTGGCTTGGCCACCACCATTATGCCCAAGATTATGGCTATCTTCTGGTTTGATGCCAAGGCCATCAGCCTGCCTGAATGTTTTGCTCAGATGTATGTCATCCACTGCTTCTTCTGTATGGAGTCCGGTATCTTCCTCTGCATGGCAGTGGACAGATACATAGCCATCTGTCACCCTCTTCGATACCCCTCCATAGTCACTGGCGCTTTTGTGGTCAAGGTCACAGGATTCATGGTGCTCAGGAATGGCCTGTTGACCATCCCAGTGCCTGTCCTGGCTGCTCAAAGACTCTACTGCTCCAAGAATGAAATTGACCACTGCCTGTGCTCTAACTTGGGGGTTATCGGTCTAGCTTGTGATGACATCATCGTGAACAAGTTTTACCAACTGTTCTTAGCATGGATCATAGTTGGAAGTGATATGGCTCTGGTTTTTTCTTCCTATGCACTAATCCTCCGCACTGTGCTGAGACTAAACTCAGCAGAAGCAATGTCCAAAGCTCTGAGCACCTGCAGCTCCCACTTCATCCTCATCTTCTTCTTCTACTCAGGTATCATAGTGGTCTCTGTCACACACCTTGTAGAAGAAAAGATACCCCTTATCCCTGTCCTCCTTAATGTGCTGCATAATGTTATCCCTCCTGCTCTCAACCCCATGGTCTATGCTCTCAGGATGCATGAGCTCAGACTGGGTTTCCGGAGGTTGCTTGGGTGGGGTGAAGAATTGGCCATCCACTTCAGAAGTAACCTCAGCTTTATAAGTCACTATAGGTGTTAGGAAGAAAACATGTCATAGACCTGGATTGTAAAAATGGGGGAAATGGCCTATAGCATCACTAAAATGTAGCCTTACTCATCAAAATAGGCATATGAAAATTATAATGAAATTTCCTATAATTAGAAATAAGTGAGAATACAATATCATTATCTATGACCATTGTTTCGGCTCGGAGACAGACACACTCGTACACAGCTCTGATACTTTTAGATATGATATGCACATGGAAAAATTCATCTAATTGGTGGTAAAGTTTTCTTCCTAGGAAAAGAAGAAAATAGTCCTAGAAAAGACCCTAAAAACTACTTCCAAATAACCAATTAATTAAATATAAATTAATTTTTACCATTTTTACATCTACCAAAAATGCACACTTTTGAGTACAAGGACCCTCAACCATGTTCATGTTGTATCTTCTCTGAACTTAGTATACAACTCTGCGCATAGTAGATGTCTAATAAATACTTCATTCATGATACAGTCAATCAGGAGACATGGGTCTGCTGAATCTTATATAGCACAGAAAATGTCCTGGACCATGGTCTGAAGAATGACCTCAGGAGGTTTGTATGTGATTTCACCTTGAAGAACAACTTCTTAGAATCAGAACCAGAAGGACATCTGGTCTACTTAATCAGCAGCAGGTTTTTTTAAATAATAACACTCAACTAGGAAATATAATGAGACCAAAAAACTAATAAAATGGAAATGATTACAAAAAACAGTAAGACAGAAAGGCAACACAGATTTTTAATGGAAAGATACAATGGTATAAAAATAAGTTTTTTCAAAATTAATTTATGTTTAACAAAATGTATACTCAAAAATAGCATATCCAGTCTTTTCTTATTTAAAAAATTATTTGAAATCATTAGTAAGGCTATTCACTACCATCAATACACTCATCCAATTGGTACTAAAACTGGAAACACAAAAGACTGTCCAGTCCAACAATACTCCTTAATATGTGTTTGGATTGAATATTTGACAATAAGGCACGTTGTAACTCAATGCAACAGGAAGGCTTCTTTACTAAATGGTACTGAAACGATGGTTTAGACATTTGTGGGAGAAATTGACTTAGGGACTTTCTCACTCCATGTCAAGTCTCAAATTGATTATAAAATTAATTTTTTAAAAATGTTTGCAAAGAAAATGCAAGTAAATACTTAATAAAATGCTGCATTTTACATCATTTAAAACTTAAAATCAATAAATCATTAATTCTAGAAGTGCACTTGTTATGAATATATAAAGTTTTAGTGTATGCACAAGTGTAATTTTTTTAAAGGATGGATTTTAAGGGAAAATGAATAGAAGAAAATACTTCCAGGAAATTCAACACGTGGAGGTAATAATTTCAAGATGTAACAAATTAATAGCATGTGCTGCCAGATTTCATGTTAATCCCTTTAAGAACGTTATTCATTATTTCATTAATACTACAAGATGAGGTGAACATAAAGCAAAACCAGAAGATTGACTAAGTATAAAAATGGGGGGGAGGGGAACTTTGAAAATGTCGAAGTTCACTGAATAAAGCAGGAAAAGCTGAATCAAAATTGAAATTTCTATCTTATTTATTCTATTAATAAAGGATTTTAAATTCAAGTTTCCATTTGTGGTGTGCATGTGATGAAACAGACACATCATGAACAAATTCTGCTGTGTAAAATACTACCGTATGATGAATCTATGACGTGACCTTTCAATGTATGTCAAGAGCATTAAAAATGTCCTACTGACATATAGGACCAGAAAAACCTCTTGGAAAGATTATTTGGCAATATCAATCAAAATCTTTTTTTCCATTTTGCCCTGTAATTCAGTTCTTGGCAATTTCTGGTAGATAAACTTTCACATATGCCTAAATATATGTGAACAAATACATTTTTAATCATTTTTTACAGTGGGAAATACCATGTTCATCCCAAGTGGTCATAAAAATATCAGACATCCATGTGGTAGAAAAGTATGCAACTTAACAACAAGGAGGTATATCTATATGGCAATATGGAACAGCCTCTAAGATAACTACGCTAAAAAAGGAAAGTCAAGAAAAGTATGAAAATAGTATGGTTGGTATGCTATTTGTTTTTGTCTCATATGGGAAAATATCTATACAAATACTATCTCTTGGAGGATTCGCAAGAAATGATTACTGGTTGTCTTTGGTGAAAAGAAAGGAACTTGGGGATCCAAAGCATGGGTTTTTATTTTTTTACTAGGACCCAGTGCACGAATTTGTGCACCTTGAAAAGGAACTGTGGGCCACGAGGCTAAAGTGGGCACAGGGGTGGTTCTTGGCCTAACCTCCATGGCCCTGCCCAGCCCCTCTCTGCCAGCAGCCCACTTTTGGTCCCATCTCTGCTGGCAGCCCGTTCCTGTTGCCAATGCTCCCATGCCAGACTAGGCCAGTCACACTCACACCTGCTGATGGCACAAAGCAATTGGAGCTAGCACCAGCATTGTGTGCAAGCATGACCAGCAACATCCGTCTGTGCAAGCTGTGGTTGCTGCCCAGATTGCCCCTTAGGAGCAGAGTAGATGGACAAGCCCTTAGGGTCTATCAGGATGGCAGCTGCCAATCACACCCGCTGACAGTGCCAAAAGATCAGGACGAGTGCCAGGTGCCAGCAATGGGTGCAAGTGGCAGCTCTAGTGTTGGCTGCAGGTGTGAGTGTGGCCGGCACTGGCAGTAGGTGTGAGTGATAGGCAAGACTGCAGCTCAAAGGAGCAAAAAATTTTTAGTAACCAGGTGACAGAAACCAGAGCCCCACCTTGGTCTGGCACCCTCACTCACCATCCTGCTGCACCTGAAGCCCGCCATATTCCACACACACCCACTGGTGGGCAGCACACATCATAGCGAAGTTGTTCGGTTGTTCCAGTTGTTCTGACATTCAGTTTATATGCATACTTGCCTTTTATTATATAAGATTATGTGTATTTTCGTGATGGGCATGGGTAACATTTTAAATAACATCAAAATACTGTAAAAATGAAGATGGTGAGGTTCTCTGTATGTATCACTTTTGTATCATTTTTGAAATTCTACTCAAAGGAAATTATCTGAAAAGTAAAATATTGGTTAGTCATTTGTGAAAGTCTAATAAAAGAATATAAAGTGCTCATTAAAATTAAGACCCCACATTGCTTTTCATGATACTGGAAAGTCATGGTTCATTTATTTATTCATGTAGTAAATTTTTACTGAGCACCTTTTCTTAGGTCTCAGAACATATTGCTAAAGACAAAGGCAAGATACAAAATTATATCCAAATGATATAAACTGCTTAAACCTAAATCAGAAATATAGAAGTGAGTAAACCAATATGCACATTTGTTATCTTTTGGTGATAAGATTATTGTTGCTGGATTTGAACATGCTTATCACGCATTCAAGTGGTGATGACAAACTGCTATTCCAACCTTTCTGTTTAGAAATTATCTTGGGTTTTTTTTTATTGCATCTCTGTAGACTATTTCCAAAAGAAAAAAAAAATTGGCAGTCTTTCACGATTAAAGAAACCAGTTCATTCATGGACAACAGTGTGGTGATTGCCAGAGTGGAGGGGTGTCAGAGGATGTATTAGAGGACACAGAGGGAATAACAGGTGATGGGGGGAAAATAAATTTTAAAAATAAGAAACTGGGTCATTGATAGGAGTCTCTAATTAGGGCACTCAGCTGAACTGTCTAATACAACCTCCTTCCTATTTCAGTTTTATGGACAGACACTGAGAACAGGGCACCTGTGCCATGGACACCTCCACCAGTCATACCAACAGTTCCAGCCTCCACATCTCCCAGTTCATCTTGATGGGGCTCCCAGGCATTCACCAGTGGCAGCACTGGCTCTCCCTGCCCCTGGCTCTGCTCTACCTATTAGCTCTTGCTGCCAATCTCCTCATCTTCATCACCATCCAACGTGAGCCCACACTACATGAGCCCATGTACCATTTCCTGGGCATATTGGCACTCGTCGACATTGGCTTGGCCACCACCATTATGCCCAAGATTATGGCTATCTTCTGGTTTGATGCCAAGGCCATCAGCCTGCCTGAATGTTTTGCTCAGATGTATGTCATCCACTGCTTCTTCTGTATGGAGTCCGGTATCTTCCTCTGCATGGCAGTGGACAGATACATAGCCATCTGTCACCCTCTTCAATACCTCTCCATAGTCACTGGCGCTTTTGTAGTCAAAGTCACAGGATTCATGGTGCTCAGGAATGGCCTGTTGACCATCCCAGTGCCTGTCCTGGCTGCTCAAAGACTCTACTGCTCCGAGAATGAAATTGACCACTGCCTGTGCTCTAACTTGGGGGTTATCAGTTTAGCTTGTGATGACATCACTGTGAACAAGTTTTACCAACTGTTCTTAACATGGATCATAGTTGGAAGTGATATGGTTCTGTTTTTTTCTTCCTATGCTCTAATCCTCCGCACTGTGCTGAGACTAAACTCAGCAGAAGCAATGTCCAAAGCTCTGAGCACCTGCAGCTCCCACTTCATCCTCATCTTCTTCTTCTACTCAGGTATCATAGTGGTGTCTGTCACACATTTCATAAAAGAAAAGATTCCCCTTATCCCTGTCCTCCTTAATGTGCTGCATAATGTTACCCCTCCTGCTCTCAACCCCATGGTCTATGCTCTCAGGATGGGAGAACTCAGACTGGGTTTCCAAAAGATATGTGGGTAGAGGATAAATTGTCCGCCCACATCAGAAATAACCTTAGCTTTATAAGGCCACACAGATGTTAATAAGACAGAGGTTGGTGCCTCTGAATAGGCCTGGATTATTAAAAATAATAATAATAATGATAATAATAATATCATGAAAACTGTCAGCCTCACTTATTGAAACAGGCATTTGAAAAGTATAACTCAACTGTTTGTTAAAGAGTAAAAAAAATGAAATATCTCTGACCATTATTGCACCTAGAGATCAACACACTTATACACAACTACCATACGTTGAGATACAATAGATACAAAATTTCATTTAAATGTGTGATAAAGTGTTCTTTCTAGAAAATGAAAACAAAAAAAAATGGCTCCAGAACATGCTCTAGAAAAGTAATTCCAAATAATCAATTAATTAAATATTAATTAATTTTACCATTTGCACATCTCATAAAATGCACACTTTTGATTACAAGGACCGTCAACCATGTTCCTGTTGTACCTTCTCTGAACCTAGTACACACCTTTGTACATAATACCTGCTTAATAAATACTTCATTCACTATACAGTGAATCAGGAGGCATGGGTCTGCTGAATCCTATATAGCACAGAAAATGCTCTGGACCATGGTCTGAAGAATGACCTCGGGAGGTTTGTATGTGATTTCACCTTGAAGAACAACTTCTTAGAATCAGCACTGGGACTGAAGCAACAATAGATGGCATGAATATCAACTGGGGCAGCCGTTTTAGAGAAGAGCTGGCCGTTTCTCCAATGACTGAACAGAGTTTCCATGGAACCCAGCTATTCCATGCTGAGGTGCATACCCAAAGGAATAGGAAACATGTCCTCACAAAACCTTTCTCCCAAAATAAGAAGCCATATCATAACACTAAGAAATTAAAACAACCCAAAAGTGCATGACCTGATAATTGGATAAACAAAATATGATATATCCATACAATGGAATAATAACAGAGAAAAAAGTAAAGAATGATGCTATTGATAACTGAAAGAAGACAACAAAAGACACCTTTTATTATTCCATTTGTATGAAATGTCCAAAATAGGCAAATCTATAAGGACAGAAAGCAGATAAGTGGCTTCCATGGGTGAAGGGAAAGGAAAATGGGGAACAACTGTTTAATAGGTACAGGGTTTGTTTTGAGAACGTTGAAAATTTATGTATTGATAATTAGAAGTGAGAGCTGCACAACATTGTGAATGTACTGGAAGCCACTTTAAAATAGTTACAATGCTGAATGTTATGTTATGTAAATTTCACCTCACTTTAAAAAAAAATGTAACTCACTTCTTGCAATGTTACTCCATTCTTTTTCCGCTAACAAAATTGAGCATCATTCCAGCTGGCAAAGGTATTTAAAGGGCCCAGATCCACTTTCACAAAGCAAGCCAAAAAGCATGAATTGGTAACTGAGTCACAATAAGTTGATTATCAGCAAGACTCACACCTTTGCCGAAACCGGATTGGCTCAGTGGTAGAGTGTCGGTCTGCAGACTGAAAGGTCCCAGGTTCGATTCTGGTCAAGGGCATGTACCTTGGTTGTGGGTACATCCCCGGTAGGGGGTGTGCAAGAGGCAACTGGTCGATGTTTCTCTCTCATCGACGTTTCTAGCTCTCTATCTCTCTTTCTCCTTCTCTGTAAAAAAAATCAATAAAATATATTTAAAAAAAAAAAAAGACTCACACCTTTGACTACTCAACTTCCATATAGACCCTTTTATATACATTTTGAATTCTCATACAACAATAAAACAACTCAACATCTACAGTGGTGCCTCACACAACGAACTTAATTCGTTCCAGGAGCAAGTTTGTTGTGCGAAAAGTTCGTTATGTGAAACGCGTTTTCCCATAACAATACATGTTAAAAAAAATAATTCATTCTGTAGCATAAAATATGCTAAGATGACATAAAAAAGATAAATTTTTTGTTATTATTTTTATTTAGATACATCTAAAAACATAATTTTTTAAAAAAAAACACACACATTTTTTTAATTTTAAGACAGACTAAGTAGAGTCTACCGAATCTTGCACATCTTCATCCATTTTCTGCTTTTTGGCCGATGGTTTCATGAAAAACCTGTCCAAAGTCGTTTGTTTTTCTCTTTTCTCCAACATCTGCCGGAAATAACGGACAAGAGTATCGGAGTAAAGATCGTTGATCCTGTTTGCTTCAGCTGAATCCGGATAGTGGGCATTGGTAAACTCCTGAACTGCTTTCCATTTGACCAGGATGTTCTTGATGTCAGCAGTTGGGATTGGTTGATTGTTTGATTGTTGCTCCTCGTTATCAGATGACGCTTCCCTTTGAGCATTGTCCTGTTTCATTTCAACAGAAATCACCTTCCTGCTTTTTTTAGAAGCCATGATATAAAAAAAATATTGAGTTTAACTTAAAAGGACGACTGCCGTGATACGTGCGTGATTTAATTCGTAATGAAGAACGATTGCCGCGATATATGCTGAAGTTAAGCGCAGTGACTAACGACTGCCTGCAGTGCCTGCGCGGAAGGATGCAATACATTGGCAGCGATCCTGGAAGCTCGGGCGAAGCAGTCGTGGAAGCTCGGGCGACTTCGTTGTGTGAAACGAAGTTCGTTGTATGAATCATGAAATGTAGTTCGTTGTGTGCAGCGTTCACTGTGCGATGTGTTCTTTATGCGAGGCACCACTGTAATTTTAAATTATAAAGCTATTCTTCAAAGGAAGAAATTTTCAATTTTTCCTAACAGTAACAAAGATGCACAGTTCCAACAGTCATTATATGCATTCCTGGCTATATTACCTACTCCCCAAATTCAGTCTCAGTCCCATTGAATAATTCTGTCACCTAAAGGCTAAGTTATAATGCTAATTTCTAATAATGTATATATAAAATAAAAAATGGAAAATGATTAGTGTATAGGAATAAAATCTTTCATATAAGAAGCAAATAGAAAATATTCAAAGCTACTAGTTTTAGTGCTTATAATGGTTTACTAGTTCATAATTTATATTTGCCATATATCTTCCAAATCTGTCGAAACTGGGTAGAGTAACCAAAACCTTTAATCCTAAAAGGTCAGAATTCTCATTCATCCTGCTAAAGACTTAGTATCCTGCTATGGATTTAGCATCTTTTTTCATTGGTATACCTCAGAGAATACCCTGCATTTCCAACACAGTCTACTTGCTTCTACTCTATAAATGCAACCTAATTTGCTCTTTGTAATTAAAATTAATTACTCCAGGTAATATATTAATCTTTTCTTTTTTGAATTCATTGTGTAAGGCAGTAAAACGCATCCTTTGATATGAGGATACATAAACAGAGAGCCCATTAAAATATTTTTGTTCTAGTCCTCTGTTGATATTTGAAGTATTTGTCTCCATTACAAAAATGCAAATCCAAATCTAGAATATATGCCTATCCAATTTTTTCAAGACATGTCTGTACCCTCCTGAGCCATGAAATCCACTGTGAGCTTTATGTCAGTCTGGATAGTGTTCCACAGTGGTCGTACGTCTCTGGTTAGCCCTGTTGACAAACAAATATTTTGAGCTTCAGAGGAAGTCAGTGGATTCAACTGAACACTTACCTATTTATTTACTTATTTCCCATTAAAGCAACATTAGAATAACCTCATAACCTTTCATCTCACATATCTAGGAATACTCCCCCAGAAAGTGGATTAGAGCATCCACCTGTAGGATTTTTCGGATGAGTATAAATATGCTCCTCTTTAAATTATCCTTTTCCAAGTTCATAATATTCCACATTATTTTGCACACCATACTGAGACTTTTTTATTATTTAGTGATCTAAGATCCATTTTCAATAACATCAGCAATTTATTGTCTGTAGTTTAAAAATAGATAAAATTCCATCCTATTATATTGTCATCATCATCATTACCTTTTCTAATACCTTGAAGAAACCCATTGAGCAGATTCACCCTTCCTTTGGATTACTTGATTGTTAAAACTATCACAGAGAACAAACTTTCCCAGAGCAAACGGATATTCTGTTAGAGAAGGTAATTTTAGGTATTTATAGATTTTCTGAGTTACCTTGTGATGTCAGATGTAAAAAAGGCTCTTTGTAAGTAATCCCTTCTCAAAGTATTATAATTTGAGAAATGCTTGCCAGGGTTCTTCCTTTGGAAATCTATGCCATTCTTTCCATAGACTTTTTAGTAGCCTGAACAACACATTATTATTTCCAAATCCTTCTTGATTAAGATATCACATTTTATCAATATGTAAATTTATTATTACCAAACATAAGAATGTGAATAATTACTGTGCAGCCTGAACTGCTCGTTTCCCTGACTATGTTCTTTTATAGTCAAGAAGCAAATTTCCCAAATATTCTGACAAATCTACAATTTTATTTAGCTGTAACTTGACAATAATTCATGACTCAATATATCTTAATTTTAGAAAGCTGCATCTCACATTGCATCATATTACAAAACCTAACCAACTTACTCTTCTATTTAACAAAATTGCTGAAACACTAGGTATATTTGGTGTGGCAAAAAAATAAAAATGTGTTTCACATGTTGATCAAAAGAAAATTAGGGAAGCTCCAAAAATGAAAGGTAACTGTGATTGAATTGTAAAAGAATAGAAGCCAATAGGTATAGGAGAAAGAACTAATACAAAAATATTGTATATTCAGATAAGAAATGCTTAATACTAAGAGTAGTAGAGGGCTATGAAAAAAACCAACCTGGTGATTAATGGGTAAGGCAGCAGGAGTAGTCAGGCATGTCTATCCTCCTGCACATGCATTCTTGGACCAAGAAGTGGGCAAAATGTTAAGCAACAGTGGTAAATGTACCCAGAATATTGGAGATTGGGTCAGAAAACAGGGCAGTGATCAAGATGGCTATAAACAACCATGCCCCGTGAGCTTCAACCATAAATCAAGCTATTAGCACACCTCTTACCTCCCCTTCAACAGATTGCATCAAACAAATACAACAGCATCCAGAGACTGCCTACTAGAAAGGAAATCAACTAACCAATTACCAAGATGGCTTGATCTAAGACAAGTTTCTTCCTGATTATAGACCCCTGGTCTCTCTTTTCTTATAGCATTTGCTTCAGAAAACATGTAATTGTAAATTCATTCAATGCCCCTTTGTAGAATTTATAAATCATCTCTTATCTTCTTGCCAATTATACAACCCAGAAAATGTCTTTCTCTAGGACCTGGAAACTATCTCCTGAAATGTAAACATTGAAGGAGATACCCCATCTCTCAGTCTCTGTGGAGAGTAGGAGTCTAACTTCCTTGGGCGCCAATTAGCAAACACAGATGGCCTTATCATAGACAAAAAGATGTGCAATCTCAGGAATAACTCAATGTACTTGACACATCTCATTGATCAGCCTCTTACTAAAGTCCTTTAGTATTTTTCCACTAGTTCACCCAGGGCTTAAATCCATTATATCTGACACTTACCTCAGTCCAATCTAGACTTTTGTTTTAACAAAACCGGATATTCAGACTTGTCTGTGTTCTATTCCCCATTGCTGGCAATAGTATCAGTATAAAAATCATCTTCCGTTTGCTAATCCTGTTTAGTGCAATTTTTCTTTAACACCAGATACAACCATCTATTTGAGCAAAACCAACACAAAGAGTGGCATTGAAGTTGATAAGCCCAACTCACACCCAAAGAGATAGAATAAATTCAAAAAGCTCTGCTGGAAGTAACCCTCTCTATGTCAACTCTACTTCAGGATTTCAGGGTCACTCATCCTTGCAGGTCTAGAGGTGGTGACAAGTGCTATTATTAACCCTAGGGAACTGTACTATCACTTTGAAACTCTTACTGATCACATCCCTATAAAACAGGCTCTTTGTAAGTAATCCCTTCTCAAAGTATTCTAATTTGAGAAATAACCAATGTTGACAAGGTTGTAGAAAAAGGAATCGCTTGTGCACTGTTGATGGAAGTATAAATTGGTATAGCCACTATAAAAAAAAATCATGAAGGTTCCTCAAAAAATTAAAAATAGAACTACCATATGATTCAGTGATTCCACTTCTGGGTATTTATTCAAAGAAAACGAAACAATAATTTGAAAAGATATATGCACCCTTATGTTCACTGCAGTATTTATTTACAGTGGACAAGAAAACAACTTAAGTATCCATCGATAGAGGAGTGGATAAAGTATATGTGAATATATATATAGGGTGGAATACTATTCAACCATAAAACCATAATGAAATCTTGCCATTTGTGACAATATGGATGGACCTTGAAAGCATTGTGCTAAGTGAAATAAATCAGAAAGAGAAAGACAAATATCGTATGATCTCACTTATATGTGGAATTTAAATAAAAAAAAAACCAAAAACATGTTTATGGATACTGAGAATAGATTGGTGGTTGTCAGAAGCAGATACAGGAGGGAGTCAAAAGGTACAAATTTTCAGTTATAAAATAAATAAGTCATGGCATGTACTATAAACAGTACAGTGACTATAATAATACAATTGATCCTTGAACAATGCAGTGCTAGAACTCTGCAGGTCCACTTACACATGGATTTATATATATATGTATATAGTGTGCAATCTATGTGTATTCTGAGGTTTTCCATCCACAGATTTAACCAATGTGGGTCACGTTTTTGATCCACAGTTGGGAGTTTGTGGATCCAGGAAGTTGACTGTATACATTGTTTTACTCCATGTTATATAAGGCACTTGAGCAGTCACAGTCTTTGGTATGGGGTTGTAGGGCATCCTAGAACCAATCCACATGAATACTGAAGGACAAATGTTAAGTTTTGAGGGAATGAAAAGTTATATGCAGATTTTCAACTTCTCTGGGGTTGACATCCTTAACCCCCATGTTGTTCAAGGATCAACTGTATTGCTTTGCATATTTGAAAGTTGCTGAGAAAGGGTAACTATTAAAGTTGTCATCATAAGAAAAAAAAATGTTTAAAACTATGTGTGGTGATAGATGTTAACTAGACTTAGTTGTGGAGATCATTTTGCAATGTGTACAAATATTGAATCATGCTTTACACCTGGAACTAATATAAATTACATGTCAACTATACCTCAATAAAAAGAACTTTTTAACTATTCTAATCTGAATGGGCCATCTGTTCTCTATTTGTACTCTAGCCACCACAATGCTCATTCAACGAGTCAGTGTGCAAGTCATTAGCAAGAGCAGTTTCAACATCCTGATAGGACAGATTCTAGATGACCATAGATTTAAAAGGTAAGGAAGGAAAGACAACATTGCAAAAATAACTCTTACAAGAGGATGGCTATGTAAAAGGCAGAGCCTGAGGGTATAGGAGTGAGATTTGGAAATGTCATGGCAAGACCAAGGCAGAAGTATGTGGAGCACAGGTAGTTGGCAGTCTTGGAATCTATATATATTGAGGTGCATAATACCAGAAAGTGAAAGACTGTTGACATAGGAAAAAAGGTAGATAGTTCTGCTATATTACTTTATTTGAACAAACAAATATGTTCTAACATCAATGGTATATTACAAAACAATTTGAGCACAACTGGATTTCACATTTACCTTTGTGCCCTTTTGTCCAGTAGAATGCAGAAAACTGCCTCGAGCTCAAAACAAGCTGCATAGGAATACACAAACACACACATACTCCATATACTAATCGGCCACCTTCCTTCACATGACAACTTAATAATTCCAGATAGAGCTCCTTCTAGCACTTCACAATAACTGACTAGCTGCAACCCCTCTGTGTTTCCACAGCAAACTGCATATCTTCTTCATAGTGTTATGTGCAGTGTAGTATTTGTGTTTTTCTTAATCATTTAACAATGTAAAACTCCGCTACTGTTTATACAAGTTTTCTATCTTTTTTAAGTGTCACTGACAAAGTTGTTGAATGCTATTTTCCTAACTCCATTTTTCCATAAATCCTGAGGTTTTTCGCGTGGGGTGTTGCATAGCCCAGTGACTTTTAAGAACTCATGTCATGTTATAACAGAATTGACTGTTCTTTCTAGAGTGAGTAGGGAGGAAATCAAGCTTAGATAGAGGGGAGAACACACCTTCATCCAATGTTTCAATCTGGCAGAGCTGTCCATCTGATGGGCCTGCCCCTTGGGACTAGGTTTGAATAGGAGTCTTCTAAGAAGTGGCTAAGGCAAGCCTCCAGGGTCTTTCCTGCTGGAGTGAGACAACAACCTTCCCTAGAGGTAGTTAGATGACAGATAGGAGTGACATCGGATGGGCCCAGGGAAGGTTAGTCCAAATGCTCATCAGCAGAGGAGTGGATACAAAATATGTGGTACATTTACACAGTGAAATACTATGAGTCTGTAAAAAAGAAGGAGCTCTTACCCTTTGCAACAGGGTGGATGCATTTGGAGATTATTATGCTAAGCAAAATAAGACAGTTGGAGAAAGACAAATACCATATGATTTCACTTATATGTGAAATATAATGAACAATATAAACTAACAAACAAGGTAGAACCAGAGGCATGGATGCATGGAGCAAATTGGTAGATCTCAGAGGAAGTGGGGGGGGGGGGGGGGGGTGAGGACTGAATGGGGGAAGGTGAAGAGATTAGCCAAAGAATATATAGCTCACCCTAACCAGTTTGGCTCAGTGGATAGAGCCGTGGCCTATGGACTGAGGGGTCCTGGGTTCGATTCCATGGGCCTTTGTTGCGGGCACATCCCCAGTTGGGGGTGTGCAGGAGGCAGCTGAACTGATGTTTTTCTCTCATCAATGTTTCTGTCCCTCTCCTCTCCTCTCTGTAAAAAGTCAATAAAATATATGTTTTTTTAAAAAAAGAATATATAGCTCATAGACACAGGTACAATAGTGTGGTGAAGGCCAAAGGAGGGGGCAAGTGGGCTCGGTAGAGGTGGACTAAAGACATACATAATAATATTTAAATATATATATTAAATATATATATATACATAGGGATATATATAGATATCTATATATATCCCTATGTATTGCTTAAGATGATGATCATATTCTGGATGTGTTAATCAGTAAACATCTCAAATAAATCAAGCGACTGAGGGCAAAGGTACTTTCCCACTAAAGCATCACAGTTCCAAATTAGCCTTTATTTAGTGCAGAAAGACGTACATGGACATAATGAAAGGAAATACAGAAAACATTTGAGAATTACATATTTAAGAGATTTAGGGTGGGGGTGTTTACTGGCACATAAATAAAACCAAATAGATGAGAAGTTTAGTAGGTTATTAATAAACATACCAGTATAATGCCAAAGAAACCAAAAACTTACCTAAGAAAGGCTTTGACTAGTCAAAAGCGAATACAATTCTTAGGACCCAAGCTTTCAGCACCAGGAAGTGGCCTGAGAAGGACATATTCCCCAGAGCCTATTTTAGATATGGCCTAAGAAGATCATGGAAAACAAAAGAAACAGGACTGGAATCCCAGTATCACTTCAAATACTATCCAGATAACTATTTGGTTATTATCAATATGAGTAACAACCAATAACTTATTGATGAGCAGTTCAGGAAGGAAAAAGTTGAGAAACTTCCCAGGGTTTCCAGCTTGGTGAAGTTGGTGGGATCCTCGTGATCTATTAATAGTATCCAAGGAAAGGAACAGGAACATGAAGATGTGCTAACTTGAGTTCTATATCCTGGAGGAGATATTCAGTTGGCAGGTGAGTTTATGTATTTAAAACTCAAAAGATAGGAGTCTTGTATTGCCTAGAAAAATTTAAGAAACACTTCTCGAGGAAAACAATACTTGAACTGAAATTTGAAGAAAAAACAGGACTTTTCCAAATGGCTAAATGATATGAACACATAGCTGTTTTTCAAAAGCATCTGCCATTACAGAAGTGGGAGGAGAGCTACTTGAACCTGTACAAATAATAAATGCATATTTGGAGATAAAAACTGGAACCCTTTCAGATATTAAATATAAAATTATTTTTATCCATTCGTGCATAACTTACTTTATGTGCTGTTCAGCTCCCTGTGTTTCTGGAGTACATCTGGTCTACTGAGGATACCAAATGTTCATAATTAGAAGCATGGATACTTAGTTGTTATTTGTGGGTTGTGGGGGAGGAATATGAGAATAGAAGAGGATAAAAAGAAACAAAGAAACAGGGGGAGGAGGCAAAGAGGAAGAGCCAGAAAAGAAAAGAAAAAGATATAAGAGAAGATAGGATGATGAAGAAGAAGGAAGAGAATGGGAAAGAGAAGGAAAAGCCCTCTCAGGAAATCTCTATATTTTATACCTAGTTTCTTGGGTGTGGGGACTTCTAGGGAGCCATCAGCCCAGAGGGGAAGCACAGCACCAAGCCTTCATGTCAAAGAACCAGCTGGCTACACTCTCCCGGATCTGCTTAGTCTTCACACCATAGACAATGGGGTTGAGCATTGGTGGCACCACTATATAAAGATTGGCCAGCAGGATATGGACATGTCGAGGAATGTTATGTCCAAAGCGGTGGGTTAATAAGGTAAAGAAGGATGGGACATAAAACATGAGGATGACACAGAGATGGGAGCCACAAGTGCTGAGAGCCTTGTGCCGGGCATCCTGGGAAGGTAAACGGAACACTGCCCGGAGGATCAGTGAGTAAGACACAGTGATGAGGATTACATCCAAGATGACCATGACAATGGGCACTGAGAAGCCATACCAGATATTAACGGTGATGTCAGCACAGGCTAAGCGGGCCACTCCAATATGCTCACAGTAGGAATGGGGGATGATGTTGGTCCGGCAGAAGGGCAGCCGCTTCAGCAAGAAAATCACTGGGAAGATGATGCAGAAGCTTCGGGTGACAATGGCCAGAGCAATTCTTCCCACAACGGGCCACGTTAGCACCGCTGAGTAATGCAGAGGAGCACAGATGGCCACAAAGCGGTCAAAGGCCATAGCTAATAGGATGGCTGACTCCCCCACAAACATCACGTGGACAAAGAACACTTGGGTGACACAGGCATCAAAGGCAATGTCATGAGAATGGAACCAAAAGATGGCTAGGGCCTTGGGTACAGTAGTGGTGGACAGCAGGATGTCCGTGATGGCCAACATGGAAAGGAAAACGTACATGGGCTCATGAAGGTTAACGCTCTTGATGATGACCATTATCAGGACGCTGTTCCCCAGGACTGCCGTGATATACATGAGGCAGAGGGGTATGGACAGCCAGCTGTGATACGCCTCCAGCCCAGGGATGCCGAGTAGGACAAAAACTGCAGGGTGGAAGATGGTAAGGTTGGTGTGAGTCATGATGAACTTTAGGATCCTCTCTATAATGACTTAGAAGTTGATGGGTCTGCTGAATATAATAGGAACAGAAAGCATCTCTGAGTGTGTGCTGAGATCACAAAAGACAGCATGGGTTTCTAAACTGTGGGATTTTCCAGGGGAAAGTCCTTCCAGAGAATACTCTTATAGGGATAACCTCTAGCCCTTTGTACTCATTCTCACGTAGAACGTCTGTATCAACCATGCTTCACCCTGCCTCCATTCACCCTGCCCCCGAAGCCTGGGTCCACCTCCCTTTCTGACCTCATTGTGCCATTTCCACACAAGCAGCATTTGCCCCCTTACCCATGCTATACTTTTCCCTCTAAGACTTTGCTCGTTCTGTGTTTACATGAATTTCCCTTCCCTTCCATTTCTGCTTATTCAAATTTGAACCTTAACATACCTCTTTCAGACAAGCCATTTTGTAATGGCCTGTGCCCATAATAATATCTCTCCTTCCTGAAGACCTATTAGGCAAACTGTATTTTAACTTGATTATACATAATCACATTAAGTTTATCTGGCTATTACCTTGAACACTTCACATTACACTTACTAATAACGTGGCGCTTGTGGCTCCCTGTTCATTGAAGTGGAGCACAAAGTAGAAATCCAGAAGGAGCCTAAGTAGTGTTTTTCTCCACGCCGATCTAGATCCAGGTCTTCTCTACAGGCAGTGAGGAGTGGGCAGCGGCTGAATTTGAGAAGCCATATTCATTACCTGCTCTTTGTGAACTTCTCACACTCCTCCCCAAACAGTTCCATAAAGGTTGTGTTTATTCTTCTTATCCTTAGGAGCCACCAGGAAAACTATTCTGAGTATAAGAAATCGATATACTCCCCTCTGACTCCATTAATATAGCCTTCCTCCAGACCACTTGATCCTTAACCCTCAAAAAGATTTGGTTTTCCCTCCTGCTATGAAGGATTAATCCTAGAGACCTTCTTGCCTTGGATTTTCCCATCACTCAAGTTAGATTTGTCTGCTTCTGAAACTCTATCTGTTAGTTATCAGGGCTAGGGGGGAAAAATGAATGATTAAAGTTCTGAAAGGGACATGGAGAAGAAAGAACATGGAGAGGATAAGGAGAGAATCAGGAGTATAAAGGAACCAAATAAACATTAGGTGGAACTACTGATATGGGATTACATTGTTCTTCCTCTATTCTAAAGCATAGGCCTCGAATTTATATAAACAAAACTTCATCAGAAATCAAATTCAGCCCTAACTGGTTTGGCTCAGTGGATAGAGCTTTGACCCACTGACGGAAGAATCCTGGGTTCAATTCCAGTAGGGGTTGTGCAGGAGGCAGCTGATCAATGTTTCTCTCTCAACAATGTTTGTAACTCTCTATTCCTCCTTCCTCTCTGTAAAAATCGATAAAATATGTTTTTGAAGAAAAAAATCAAATTCATTTTACTTTCACATATTACTTCTCAATGCAAGATACCTAATATAAGTCCAAAAAATAAAAACAAAAAACTCTCCCTCTGCTTATAATTCTAACGATGCTTTATAACCTCAATAGTGAAGACAGCAAAAGGCAGGGAAAGATTCGGTCCAGGCTAAGGAGAAATGGAGACACTTCTTCAATTTTCTGCTTTCTCTTTTTCTACTGTGACTTCCAGCCTATTTTTTTGTTATATTCATTTACCACCCTTAGGTTCTACAAATGTGCAGGCTGTACACCCTGAAGCCATGTTTCTAAAGGGTAAAATAGCCTGCCCCCTACACTAGGCTACATGTATGGAAGGATTCATTGTGAGATGTATCACAAGAAAATTATTTCTAATAACAAAAAGTAAGGCATCAAAATTTGTAAATGTTTACCCTTTTAAAAAATTGAAACTAATTCAAATTTATAGCTCTAATAACCTTACTCTTGCTCACATACACTCAAAGCCAGCATGTAAAATGGTTTTATAATCTAAAACCAGTCTTACTTGCACTGCAGAGGCACTGAGATACCCTTAATCTACTGAAACCCCTTAATACCAATTCATTTTTTTAAATAAACATATAAAGAAAATTTTCTACCTACCCACTTGTTTCACCCCCATATAAATATTTTGGGATTTTTGTCAAAATTTGAGTAAGCATAAGATGGTGCATCATGTGATTTTCATATTTTTATGATGCAATGGCAAAACGTGATGGAGAATCCCAACTTCAAGGCATAACCTCTCCTTCTCCCCATTGCTATACCTGTTCTACAAAATGCAGGATGGGAGACAGAACAAGGAGGACTTCCAATTTAGACACACCAGATTACCAAGAGAAGGTTCCCTCAAGAGTCCCCACCTTGAGACTGGGGAGTTCACAGTAGTAAGCACACATTCTGCACATTGTAGGTACATAGGAACCATTTGAACAAATGAACCATGGGATTGGTAAGTTAGCCTTTTACTAGTGGATTTGTTTGTTACACCAAGGTAATGATCAAAACGTGAGCCATTTTCATGAATAGCTCCCAATGATAGCTCCCAGACTGCTCTTTGAACTGCACTGATACAGACTGCTCTTTGAACTGCACTCAAACCTTTTATTAAAAAGTCTCTCTCCCCCCCCCCACATTCTCCTAATGCTTTTCCTGACCCACCTCTGCGTGCCCATTTCTTTCTCTAACCAGTGTCATCCTCCCAGTCCCTCTGACATCCTTTGTCTCACTAACCCCTTTTATCCCACATATCCATTTCCTCTCTCCAAGCTCTAATCTTTGTCTTTTATATAGATCTCTAAATACATACACACACACACTTGTCAGTCCCTCTCCCTGACACCATCAATGCTCTTAAACTCACATACTACATCACAGTATTAGCTGAAGGATCCAGGAAGTGGTAGAGAAGAGTTACTAGTAAAAACTTTGTTTTTTCTGAGAGATGAGGAATGAGAAGAAAGAAGACTGGACTGATCATGTTGGCATGCAGCGTGTCACTAGTCCTGCCCCATAGAGTGCTTATATTTAGAGACAGAGAGGCCACATGCTTCCTCCTTCTGGAGGCAGGTGCCAGAGTTACCCATGGGATCACTGAGCATTTGGGTCAATGAACCAATGGAGAAATAAAAATTCTTCCTCTAATTCCAAGAGGGAGTACTAACTCTAGGGATAATTAGCTCCAGACAAATACATTTGAAAACACAGCATAAGAGCAGTGACAGAAATCCCACTAGTAAAATAACAGCTAACATTTGTTGAGCCTTTACTATATCCCAGTCACTGTGTTAGGGCTTAACATGAATTTTCTCACTTAATTATCAGAACAACCCAATGAGATAAGCCATTGTTAATCTTTTCATTTGGCAGATGAGAAAATAGAAGTTTGGGGAGACTACGTAGCTGATAAGAAGAGAAGACAAAAGCCCTCAGATGAGCATGTCAAAGTGTTCAAACTCAGTCCAGAAACACTGATTAAGGGAGATGAGAGGGGTCATACAGGCTCAATAACTCAAGGTAAATTCAAGAACAGAAAGGGGCGCCAAAACCAGTTTGGCTCAGTGGATAGAGCATCAGGAAAGGTCCCAGGTTTGATTTTAGTCAGGTCAAGGGCATGTACCTATAATTAAATCAAGAAGGCTCTCTAAACACGGTCAAATAACCCACAGAAAGACAAGAATGTTAGGACGTGTTGCTTGTTTAAATAAGTTCCAGTTGAAGAACCATGTGAAAGCCACAGAGCCAAGTGAATGAGACACAGAAGAAGCAAACAGAAAACAAATAATAAAATGGTAGATTTCAGCCATAATATAACAATTACTTTAACTGTAAATGGTCTAAATACACCAATTTAAAAAACAGAGATTATTCTTCAGTTGCTTAAGAAGAAGGAAAGAATGATTTTGGCAATTTCTCTCATACCAACTATTACGTTGTTAATTTATTGGTCTCTGGTCTCTGTCATGTAACTTAAGTTTTAATTTCAATATGTGTTTATGATATTATTCCATTTAATTAATACCAAAATTTACATCACACAATCACGTTGACTTGGCTCTGTGACTTTCAGATGGTTCTCCAACTGGGAATTATTTAAACAAGCAGCAAGTCCTACCATTTCAAAGTAAAAATGAAAAAAAATCTAATCTGAAATTTCTTAAAAGTAGAGCAGTGAGTTTCCAAGGATAAACCAACTGGTAATTTTTGGAGCACTGAGCAATTTCTATGTTCCTTCCTTTCCCCTAATATATCAGTGTAGAATAGCATATAAAAATGGTCAAATGTCGCCCCTGATATGGGATTCTAATTTAGCAACACTACTTATAAAAATTATATTTATTTTATTTAAAGGGCTCATCAATCAACTATCCTGGGTACTGGGGATTCCCAATGCCCCAGAGAACTATGGAATATTAATAAGGTGATCAGACGTCCCGCTTTTGGCGGAATAGTCGCCGCGGGACGCGGGATAAATTGTTAAAAATGTCACAGGGAAAGACCAGCCAGGTGACACCCCACACACACACATGTGCTTAGATACCTCCTATAACGTTGGGCTGGAGCCTAGGAGACCAACAAAGAAACTTTCCTAGAGGCAACATCAGTGATATCCCCCAGTACCTCCTGGACTACTAGGCAGTGAGAAACGCAGAATACATCCGATTTGCAGGAACTTAATTCAGTTTTGTTGTACTTAGGGTTTGTGATGTATCTTATGAACCATCTTTGTACAAACAGTGCCCAGGGTAGGTACACGTCAGCCAAAATCCTGTTAGTGTTCTCTTGAGACCGTTTGAATGTAATGGCATTTGAGGGCACTTCTTCTCAACCCTCTCCTTTATGGCTCTCAACCCACTGCTCCCACTTCCCAAGAGCTCCTCTCCTCCCTCAACAGATGAGAGCTCACCATTGACTAACAGGTCATTGCAGCTCTTTCTACATCTCCCCATTCAGCATCCTGGAACCACCTGCCAATCTGTCTCCTGAACTAATCCTCCTAGAACACTACTCATGTGCTAAATCCCAGCGGAAATGTTTGAAATAGTGGCCAAGAGCAGGGATGTTAGGGCCACACCGAGCTAGTATCCTGCAAATTACTAGCTGTGTGACCTTGGGCATGTTACTTTATTTCTTGGTGCCTCGGTTCTTTGTCTGTACGAAGATGGAGGGAATAATTGTACCTACTGCAAATGCATGTTGTACTAGAGCAATAACTGCACATAGGACATCCCAGAGGACTGTAGGCATCACTGTCATTCAGAGAAGACTTCCCTGACTCCTCCAAGAAGAGGAAGAGGCTTTTTCTGTGCTTCCACCATGCCTAGTTCTGACCTGAGTTAACGCAGTTATTTTAATTGTTCCCTGCCAACTGTGGGCATCACTGTGTCCACTAGACTGAGGTCTTGCAGGGCAACAGGGTCTTGTTATTGCCACTGTATACTCCCCACGAGGCATGGGGTCAGGTACAAAAGAGATTCAATCAGTTCTGCTATAAAGCTGGTTTTGAAATGCAGATTTGGTCCAACCAATTAGTGTAGTAGGGAACTGAGCATAATGTGAATATTCTGTTTATTTATGTGTGATTTCACCTGCAAGAAACTAGATGAACATGGAAAACTGCACCGAGCTGAACCAAACTGGATTGGAAAATTCAATGAGCACACATGTACATATGCAAACATTCATCAGCTGCCTCAGTTTACCACTTGTGTTACGAGCCACACCTGTCCACATCTGGTGTTACAGCATCCCACCTGATTTCAGATTAGTGTCTCCCACCTCTTCACAATAATTCACAAGCTACTTCCAAGATTCACTGCCACGAGGAAAATTCTAAGTCTTTTTCAAGGTGAAGTGTCATATTTATTGGTGCATGTGCTAGTATGTACTTTGTAATCATTTGACATGCGCTACCATTTTTGTTGGTTCCTGTCCTTTTAATTTTTTAATATATTTTTATTAATTTTTAGAGAGAAGGGAGAGGGACAGAGAGAAAGAAACATCAATGAGAGAAAAACTCATCGATTGGCTACCTCCTTCCTACTTGGCCCCTACTAGGGATCAAGCCTGAAACCCGGCCATGTGCCCTGATCAGGAATCAAACCAACAACCTTCTGGTTCCCGGGTCAATACTCAACCACTGAGACACACCAGCTGGGCAGTTACTAACCTTTTTAAATATGTCACTGACAAAGTTTGTGAATGTTGTGCCCCTCTTCCCATTTTTCCAGTAAGCCCTGTGTTTTTTATTGCATTATCTTGCATATTGTGGTGATATTTAGGATATGTTTCATTTTAACAAAAGGAGTCATTCTCAGTGTATGTGGTTGGTGGCAATTAATTCTTTCTCGTCTCCATGGATACCTAAGGCTCCCACAGCAAACACTGTTTGGGCCAGCACTTCTGCCCCACAATTAAAAGCAATAAATATTTATTCATAGACAACTGCATGCCAGGCACTGTGATGCATAATGGAGGTACTGGGGCTAATAAGAAATACTGACTCTAACTCTTTCAGTCTAGTGGGAAAAGGAGAGGCAAGTAATTATAATAAAGGGGATGCTATTAAAAAATAAAGCAAGGTCTTCTCTGCAGCAAAGACCTCCCAGGGGAAGTGTTCCTCTTTCCCAGATCTTCTACTCCCCTAAGTTAGTCTCTTTCTTTGTGGCCTTGTCTCTGTCTCCTTTCTCTATTTCCTGAGTTACCAGACCTATCAGCACTGAGCAAAGATGGAACAGGGAAGAGTTAATGTGGCACAGGTGGGAGGGGGAGGGCCTGAAGGAAGCAGGTGTAGCAGCCACATAAAGGGCCTGGTAGGCACAGGTCAAGGCAAAAAAAGCTGCCAACACACCGCATTCAGGATCCTTCCCCAGTCAAGTCTTCTGTTGTTTTCTTCCTCCATTTATTCATCCAAGAGGTATAAGCTTCTGCCATGAGCTAGACTCTGGAGGAATCGGTTCTGCTCACCCTGACTCTTTCAGCACCAAGAACGCTTCTACCTCGGACTGACTGCCATTTCCTCCCTCAGTCACCACTCCCTCTGGCATATCAGGAATGAGACTCTAGTAGGACCTCTTCTGGATTGGAAAGAAGGAAAAGAGAGAAGTTCCTTTTTTGCTGCCATTTCTCCCTTTCTTCATTGCATCCCAGATCCAACTTCAACTCTTCAGCCAGTGTTCAAGTTCACTATTTCAGCATCAAATTCAAGGAAACGTAAGCACCCCACACCCCAAAAACCTACTAGTTTTCTCCTGTCATTCAAGGCTTCCACCTTCACTCCAGATTCCATTCTACCTCCTCTTCCTGTTTCTGCCTTTCTCTTTACTCTCCCCCTTTCTTCTTGGAGGGTAACTTCCCAGCATGTTAAAGCTGAGTGATGCTTAAGGCCACCCCCATTGTAAAGATGGGAAACCTGAGGCCCAGAAGTTGTTCTTAAGGATACACAGTCAGGGACAGGACCAGCCTAAGGCCTGATCCCCACCCAGTGTTGGCTTTCACCTCATCACCAGGGACTGAGACTGACTCTATTATGAGTAAGAAAAACATATATCTCAGCTGACATCCCCAACTGAAGGGCTCTGACTGTACCAGCCACTACAGCAGTGACCACCTCCCTTCCTCACTACCACTGTCCCGTCTCTCTCCCTACCCTCATGAGCTTTCAAGTGCAAAGGTTTCTCCCATCCTAGCTAGGGTTATGGTCTTGATTATCCATTCAAATCTCCTGTGATCTTCTCAGCCCTGTGCTACCCTTTACATCAGGGGTCTTCAAACTTCTCTCATTATGAGAATCACCTGGTGGAGGTGTTAAAACACAGATTCCTGATAGCACTTCTTATAGTTGGGATCCGGGAATCTGTGTTTTAACACCTCCACCAGGTGATTCTCATAATGAGAGAAGTTTGAAGATCCCTGCTTTACATACTCTATGGATAGGTCTGTGCCACTGAGACACCCCCAAAAATCTCTCCGTTTGTCCTTTTCCTCTCAAGAGTCATGCCCCCATGAGCCCTAAAGCTTTACCCCACACAGGATGGTAGAAGTTCCACTGCCCAATGCCACCTTCCCACGCCCAGCTTTCTTCCTACTGACTGGCATTCCAGGGCTAAGGGGAACTCAGGCCTGGCTGACACTGGTCTTTGGGCCCATGCATCTGCTGGCCCTGCTGGGCAATGGAACAATGCTGGCAGTGGTGCAGGTAGATTCCACACTGTGCCAGCCCATGTTTCTCCTCCTGGTCACGCTGGCAGCCACAGACCTGGGTTTAGACACTTCCGTAGGCTCAGGGTTGCTGGCTGTGATGTGGTCCGGGACCCGCCCTGTGCCATATGCTGCCTGCCTGGTCCAGATGTTCTTTGTCCATGCACTGACTGCCATGGAATCTGGTGTCCTGCTGGCCATGGCCTGTGATGGTGCCATGGCGGTAGGGAGTCCATTGCACTATTCCATCCTTGTCACCAAAGCTCGTGTGGGATACGCGGCCCTGGCACTGGCACTAAAAGCCATGGCTATTGTTGTGCCTTTCCCTCTGTTGGTGGCACGATTTGAACACTTCCGAGCCAAGACCATAGAGCATGCCTACTGTGCACACATGGCGGGGGTGGAGCTGGTGGTGGGTAACACTCGGGCCAACAATTTGTATGGGCTAGCTCTCTCCCTGGCCGTGTCGGGTGTAGATATTCTGGGCATCACTGGCTGTTATGGGCTCACTGCCCACACCGTGCTGCGACTGCCTACCAAGGAGGCCCGTGCTAAATGTAGTTCCCACGTCTGTGTCATCCTGGCTTTCTATGTGCCTGGTCTCTTCTCCTACCTCACACACCACTTTGGTCATCACACTGTCTCCAAGCCCGTGCACATCCTTCTCTCTAACATCTACTTGCTGCTGCCACCTGCCCTCAACCCTCTCATCTACGGGGCCCGCACCAAGCAGATCAGGGATCGGCTCCTGGAAACCTTCACGTTCAGGAAAAGCCAGTTCTGATGGGCAGTGAAAACAATGAAGCCTGGAGGAGGAGCTGGGGGAACATTGAAAAAATCTGGAATCTGGAAGCATGAACTACGTCATTGGCCTCATTATCTGCATATGACTCTCATAATCACTCACCAGGTGTTTGCTGTGAAGCCCCTACTATGTGTACCACTGGAATGTGTAGTTAGGCCTAGCCACATATCCTGCTTGGGGGAGGCAGGAGGCAGGGGCCAGTATGCTACCATGCAAGGAAAATAAGATCAGGAATTATCGTGGGATCCTAGCACACAAGATTTGAAAAAAACTCTCCTCCTTGCCTCTCCCCATCGTTTTAACTTAAGACTGCCCCTGTTCCCTCACAATAGCTCCCTGCAGATCCTGAATCTAGGGGTCTGGGAAGAGGGACAGTGCCTCTGGAGATGAGTCCTTGTCTGGGATCACAGCTCTATTTCTGGAGTCAGATTCTGTTGTAGCCAGTTTGTAGGGAAGGAGTCACACAGGCTTATCCCCCACCTTGAGAATCTGAATAATATGTCCTGGGGTCCCAGTTTCACCAGGACACTGATCTTTAAGATATTCCCAGTTCAGATAATCTTCTTGGTTTCCTGTGTAATGACTATATCCCTACTCCACCCCACTCCCACCCCACACACACTCCACTGCCAAAGTCTTAAGAGTTAATGGCTAGAAGCTCTCTCTCTCAAGGTGTGCAGTTTCATGGGTCAGGAGTCCAACTAAAATAAATTTTTATATCCCAGAAAGCCATTGTAACTATGTTGCCTGCTTGCCTAAAGTCCAGAATCCCTCTGATCTCTTACCAATCTGCCCTTTTGCACATCCTCAGCCAAGAATGTAAAATTCCCAAGTAAAAGCCTCATCAACAACCCTACCTGTCCTGGCCAACATCATCAGAAGCACATGCAGTTGTTGCAATATGCTGAAATAGGAATATTTCACATAGCTGTGGCTCCAGAGAAGAGACACTAATGGGTTGTGCCATGGTGTTGCCCAACTTTGCACTCCACCCTAGGAGGGATATTGCACAAAAGATCTCTCATACCGGAATGGAGTCCAGAATGAGTATAATCTCAGACCTAAGGCAGGGGAGGCACTGTTATGAGGTCATAGAAAGCTGCAGGCTGCATAAGCAGACCCAAGCGCTCCAGGAAAACTATCATAACCACAAATATTGGAGTTAGCCACAAAGACCTGAATTCAGGTGGAATGCTGGCCAGAGCAGATAGCTGCAACACATACCATGGGACACTGCACAGGAGGCCACATGACTGAAAAGGCAGGTGGATGCCATCTACAGGGCCACATGGGGTCTGAAGAGCTAGCCCAGAAGCTATGATTTTCAGAGGTGCAGTCACACTGCAACCAAGTGGAAGAGGAAAAAATTTACACTTTTCCTCAACCCAAATGTGAACTCATAAAGTTCTGAGTTAAAAAGCCCTCCAGACAATAATTCTGTAAACAATTGTGTTAAAATTCTAATCTTAAAGGGATACAGGTCTTTAAGATGTCCATATATTTCTGGTAGGGATTCCTCTTCAATAAATCTATCCTGACAAATAATTATCAATATGAACAAAGATGTATGCAATAGGATATTTATTAGATTGTAAAAATGTTGACAGTCCTATCTCACACACACACACACACACACACACACACACACACACACACCATATTTTGCCTTTCCCTTCTGGTGCATGAAAAGTGAAATCATGGCAGCCAATGTTAATAAGCAATGAATTCTGTCAACCTCCCAGCACAGGAACCTCTCTTCTAAGGCAGTTTCACCCCCTGGTTGTGCACAGCACCCCAAGACAGCTGATTCCAAAACTGTACATTGTTCATCATAAAAAATTTTATTCCTTGCAAGCTAAAATTCGACCCCCTTGGACATGTTTATTTTGTTTTGGATTGAGATTACATACATACCTACCTTGTGATATGTTTAGGCTTTACCAGCACCCTCTTGCTCCGCAAAACAACCTGAGAACAATTATAAGCCCATAATCCCCCAAAGTTAAAATAATCTCTGAACAAATAAGTTTTTTCATAACTTTGATCCAGAATGTCACCTGAAACATTCACAATTGTATTTATATTTATTTTCGTGTGACTATTCTTACACTTAGCTGCAGAAATACTGATGTGTTTGATCACAGAGCTCTGCCCTAAGTCTCACTAGGTGTCTCTATACCTCTGCGTCTGTCTCCTCCCCGCACTGTCAGTTTGTTTTGCTCCATGTCTGTGTCTCTCACCTAAAGACGCTATATTACCCTTCTAAAAGCTAAAAAATTCCAAATTACAGGCTCTGGCTGGTGTGGCTCAGTTGGTTGACATTGTTGGGTACACTGAAAGGTCACTGGTTGGATTCCTGGTCAGGGCACATGCCCAGGTTGCAGGCTCCATCCCCTGTCACAGTGCATACAGGAAGCAACTGATCATTGTTCCTCTCTCACATAGATATTTCTCTCTTCCTTTCCCTTTATCTCTCTCTAAAATCAACAAAAGCATGTTAAATTTTTTAAATAATAAAAATTTTTAAATTACAAAACACGTTTATCCCTTAAGTTTTTAAATAAGGGATGGATTAGAAAGTTATACAGTTATCCCTGTAACCTGAGAGAAGTGATGTGTTAGGGTCCTTGATCACTCTGGAGTCTTTGCTATCCACACTATTCTATCCTGCCCTACAGGTTGCCTGCAGAGAACCTCGTGTTCTCTGGATGATCAGGACCACCAGTTGGCTGACCTCATGATCTCCGCTCTGGTCACCTGCTGTAGATGATCTGCTTTTCCCCAGGGAAGTCCCCAGAATTTTCAAGAGAGCTCTTTAGATAGATAAGGGGCAGAGCAGGAAAGTAGCTATCAGAAAGGCTCTCCAGAGCAGCGTTCGCCAACCTTTCAGACCTCACGGACCACCGGTTGGTGACTGCTGCTCTAGAGTACTTCGTTTTAGGAAACACCACTCTTCTTTTCCAGCAAAAGAGCAGTTTGAGATCTCCGAACAGACACAAGGGGAAATCACACATAGATTAGAGCTGTAGTTGGACAGTACACACTAGACACAGCTCAGGCAAGGACAGGGAGTAGAACAGGAAGAAAAATTTCCACAAATTTACCTGAGTAATTCTGACTTCCTGAGAGCTCTCTCCAGTTACTAAGGCAACAGTACCCCAATTAGATTCTTACCCTCACACTATCACCATTCGGCATGGCACTCTCCTACACACACACCTGGTTTTCACTGCTATTGGAACCCACTTGTTAACAATGGGTTTCAACCCAGGCTGCATATTAAAATTGCCTGAAAAGCTTTTAGAAATCCTGATGCCCAAGCACACTCCAGGCCAATTTAATCAGAATTTCTGAGAGTAGGATCCAACCATCAGTAATTTTTTTCAACATTTTTTATTGACTTTTGTTTGTTTTTGAGAGAGAGAGGAAAGGGCGGGAGAAACATTAATGCAAGAGAGTAAAATATCTATCAGCTGACTCCCACACGGCCCGCACGGGGGTCAAGCCCGCAACCATGCTATGTGCCCCCTACCAGAATTGAAGCAGAAATTCTTCGGTGAACAGGACGACAACAAACCAACTGAGCCACATGGGCCAGGGCCAGGCATCAGTAATTTTCAAAGCTCTCAGGTAATTCTAAAATATGGCCAAGATTGAGAACTACTACTTGATTCCCAGTTTAAGTCCTGATCTGTTCTTCTCCTGTGCGCTTCAGGACTCCATTGCAACCTCACAAAGAAGTCATCTGCAGGTGACAAGACAGCATATCAAATTGTTTGAAGGAGACTGCTGAAGGGAGGAAAGACCTGATCCTGTTTCCTTAAAGGACTACATACACTCATACATACATACCCTAATGGTACCTGCATGTTCCTTCTCTAAAGCAGAATAGGTAGATGACTCAAAAGAGTAGACTCAGACTGTGAGAAGAGTGAGGCTAAGGTGACTGCCCTCTCCCACCCAACAGCCATCCTCCAGCAGGACCTCTATGACCTCATGCTGTAGTAGGTCAGAGCCTAAGGCCACGCCTCACCTCTCTGGGCAGCTCGGGGTTCCTGCAGCAGCCATTGCCCTGCCTAACCCTTCCCATATCCCAACATGTTGGTTGGTACCCCCCAGCTGCTAACACTGGATGAAGCTGATACCACATGGACCCTCATCAAAGACAAGGTAGGTAAAGTACTAAGAGGGCTAAGGAGGAAGTAACAAAATATAACCTAGGTGGGTCTGAGTAGCTTATGAGGAGGGAAGCTGGAAGATAATAACTAACACTATTTCAGTGCTTATTTATGGGCCAGGCACTGTACTAATAAGTGCTTCGTACAAATTGTCCACTTGAATCATAATTGCAAAAGCAGTAAGAATGGTTCCTTGAATGTATAGCGAGCTATGAGAGCAGAGAGGAGAAGTGCTAGGTCAGGAGCAGGACTTAGGAGGTCACTCTCATGAAGAGAGTAACATTTTAGCTGGGCAAACACCTGAATGAGTTCAGGAGTGGTGGATGGGTGAACAGTGTACTTATTAAAGGCAGAACATATGCAAAGGCAGGAAAGGAAAAATGGAAAGTGAGGATTTATGAACTGCAAATAGCCCTCTAGAGCAGAGTTCAAATTATTAGTGGTAAACATAAGGTCAAAGAGGTGCAGGGGCTAATCATGAAAGGCCTTTTAAGTTTTCTAAAGTACCTAAACTTTACCTTTGACTTCTTCATGGCTAAGTGCAAGACAGTAATCTTCAAGCTACCTCAGCTTATCCAAAGTAGACACAACTCATCTGTTAGCTACTCTCCTTTTATGCTGGAAGGCAGCACTGGAGGGGAAGAAAGACACAAAACTATACAGCAAAGAGCAGATCAGCCTTAAGGGACCATTGGTGAATTCTAAGGAAAGGCCAGCCAAGTGGACAAAGCCATCAATATGGGCACAGATGTGGATCTTGGGGATTGGGACAAAGAGTAGAGTACACAGCACTTGAAATTA